CATATATATATAAACACTGTGAAGATATTAAAATAAAGCGAGATATATCTAAGATATAAGGAGGTCTAAATTACTTTAGAGTTACAAACAGAACAAAAGAGGTCAGAGACAAGGTCAGAAAAAGGTCATTGTTCTCAATGCTTTACCAATATTGGAATGCTTGATCACCAGTATTTTGGCTTAAGCATCTATGTTTACATTAATCTTGATTTAATCCTGGTGAGAGATTAGTTCAGTAGCTTTTTTCTGCTAAAATACTCACATTAAGCTTTGGTTTAATCTGCATTATTTCTTTACCATCACTGTATGGAAATTGACTGACAAAACTTCCATATTCCCACATGGGATGCTTCAGTGATGGCGGTTGGCGCTTTTTGTTGTTTTGGTGGCTAATAGGCCAACTACACCACCAGTCAAAGATTTGAACACATGTTCTCAGTTTATTGTTTGTATTTTTAGCTACCACTAATAATGCTAGGATTCAGTCTGTTTTAAGGTATATTAAAAAAAACAGGTTATCAGTATTTTTATTAGTATTGCACCGATACCAGTATCAGACGGGGCCCCGATCCAGCACTAAAATAGTGCCATCGGTAATCGGCGAGTACCAACAAATAGGGCACAGATTCATTTTGAGAGCCAAAAGTTTATTCAACTACGGTATTGTCACCCATTCCAGGTAGGCAATAAAAAGTTCTACTGGATTCACTTTGTATTCGTCTTTTTTCTGCTTAACAAAGGTAGGCAGCAGTTTGACAAAGCCATGATGGCAATTATTTTACATCCAAGTAGTATGCAGTTCTTCATATATACACACAAATCAATTTAAGACAGACGGTATTTGTATGGTATCGGTATCGGCCAATACTGCACAGCTTACCATAGTAAGGTTGTATCTGCACAACATTTTGAGTTGTTCCCTTTCTTTTTTTTCAGCTTCTTCCTCTACTGGGTTATTTTATAAAACATATCATTTACATAAACAGAAAATATCTCCCATTTTTGTGTTACATATTATTAAAGCTCTTCAGTCGTGCAGGAATTTAGATTCTGAACTGTTTTGAGATGTGTGTAAAGGAAGTTGGAACAGGTCTTGATGACCATAACACTGAAACAAACACAAAGTCCATGCTAAACATCTATATGAGCTGATTAGACAGCAACAGATGTAGACATCCACAGCGGGAGCCAACACAAACTGTATCAAAAGAACAAAGGGATATTAAAAAAAAATCTTTTTTTTTTTCCCCTATGTGCACTGCATACTCTCTTACATGCAAAGCTATCAAAGATATCATTGAGGGAAAGTATTCTCATGCATCAATGTCAGAGATTTTCCTTTACGGGTTTAAAATCAAACTTCACTCAAAAACATCTGTGAGGTGCATGGATAGCTTCCAGGTGTTCACATTCAGTCTAACTGAACATTAAATCCCATAGGGAAAAATGTTTTTATTCAAATAATCCAGCTTCCCAAGCATTGTGTTTTGTTTTTTTACATATGAAAAGCTTTTTGTGGTTTGAGTGACAAAATTTATTATCGTTTATTCCACATGGAGTGGGTAAAATACATATTGAACACAATTTTTTTTTCTCAGTAAATATATTTCCAATATTTCTGTTGACATGAAATGCGCACCAGATGTCAGTGACAAGCAAATAATCCGTAACAACTTATGTGTAATGAGGTGCAAAGGTACAAGGAATAAATATTGAACACATGAAGAAAAGCATCAGAAAATTAGCATAAAAGAAAGCAGAGAATCTCTGATGCTCCGTTCAATCAATCTAAGGTGGGTCAATAACTGATTGCCTATAGAGTGGTGGATTGCCTATAGAGTGGTGGATTGCCTGAATGGAAAAAGCATGAGACTTCAACAAAAACAGTCTGTTGCAATGCATACTAATGTCAATGGTTAAATGGTTACAGTTGCATTTTTAAACTTGCAGAGTTTTCCAGTGAGGCCGTTGAAGATATAAGGCTTATTTGAAAAAATATTCATACTTTTATCATGCATCAGTCTTGGCTCGGTTCCTTTTGTAAGATCTCTGACAGATTAGTCAAAATGATCATCTAAAGAGGTGTTTAAGAACAAATGAGAAACTGTGAGAAACTATGTGGAAATAGCGAGTCCATCTTTTTTAATAAAACATCAACAAGTGAAGGAAAATTTTATTTAATTTTGTACGTTTACTGTAGATGATTTGGACATGCCAGTAAAATATAGAGTCGAGAATATAATCCGATCAGATTACATCAAATGACAAAACGTTGTCTTTGCAGAAACTTTTTTTGAGTAAGAATGGGTCTGCAATGACCCTAAAAGGATTATGTCAAAAGTTAGGTTTGAATGTGGTAACATTATAGTGCGACGGGCTTCATTCTACTGAAGACAGTAAAAACAGGAATACGTAGTTTAATACGTCTCTTGTCCAACTGAAAGGACCCCTTCCTTAATTTCCCATAACTTTCCATACAGAATTTTTCCTTGATTTTTTGCATCTGCTGAGAAATTTATGTTAATAGAAAAGTATATTTACTTATCAAAACCTTGATTCCAAGCTGTGTACACAACCTTAAAAATGAACTCTAAATTGCAAACACTGTCAAAAAACAGGTCCATCTTAATTAATTATATTTTTTTAGATTAGGGTTTGTTTGAGAGCTCTATAAAAAAAAAAAATATATAATTAAAAAGCAAAGGTATCATGAAGACTGGGGATTGCACCAGGATAACTTGTGGAAATGTTTATAGCGGGGTTCAATCTATCATCTGAGGATGGGAAGAATATGGGACATCTGTAAACCTGTCAGTGAACAGCTGTCCACCTAAACAGACAGGAAGGAAAGATGAATTTGAAAAACAGTAAAGATGTTCATTGCACAGAAACTCTGGGGAAACTGTAGAGATTGTTGTTTGGTTGGAAGCATTTTAGTGTTAATATTAGTAATGAACTTTACAGACTGGACCTTTAAAGAAGAGCAGCTAAAAGGAAACAGTTGATTTAAAAAAAAAAAAAACAACAACAATAAAAGGAGACTTTCCAAATCCAGTTTCCTACAAGCCGTGTACAGAACACAGCAAACAGGAGGAAGATGGTGTTGTGTTGACATGAGACCAAATTGGCCTTTATGCAAATAACACTTCAAATAGATGAAGATTGAAGGTTCCAAGGATGCTTTTTTGCACATTTTTTAAAAGAAAAGAAAAAAAAAATACATGGATTGAGGTGGAGCTTCACCTTCCAAGCAGACTACAGACTACTACATTTGTCAAAACGTCCAAAGAGAGGATCCCTAAATATTACGCAAACAATGAAGACAAGTTTAACTGTTTTGAATAAACGGCCTCAAAACACTAAAACTGTGAAAGCAGGGGGTCTACAAAGAGGTAGCAGGAGAGTAAAAACATATCCAAAACTCCAGGAGAAAAAATCAAAACAATAACATGGAAATAATGCATGAAATGCAGCATGTTTACCCCAATCTGTTTGCCTAATATTTCATTACAGAAGGTGATGTTTCTTTAAGTAGACAACATAATATAAAAAAAAAAAAAAAAAAGTTTAAGCTTTGACTTTGCGGCATCAGATCAGATTATCATTATTGCTTTACATAAAACCTGAGTTAGAAGTTCCCACATGTTAGAGTACACCTTGCCAACATATTTGAAAAACAGCCAAATTTTTTGCTTTGCCGTTTCAAGATGTTTCAAGGCTTACATTGGCTATAAATAATAAATAAATAAAAACTTATGAAAATTAGTTGGAGGTGGTTGGAAGGTTGTTTTTTTCCCCTGTTCAGCTTTAAAAATCTTTAGGTTGAAAAATAATTATTTTGCTGTAAGATTTCTAAAAGGCAACTTTCCCTCCTAAATATCCCGTATTATCTTAGGCAACCTGGGGATTTACTTGATTTACCTGGCAGATGTATTTTCTAGTGCTAGACATCACCTCATTTGAACCTTTCAGCATATCTGCATCCAGGTTCTGTTCTTTAAAATGTACTGTCCAAAGTTATATTTGCAGGCCTCCGTGGAACAGGTGTTTATGCTTTCATCCAGGTTTTCATCCCAAGTGTTTTCACCCTTGGGATCGCAGCTGACTGAATCTTGTGCAACATGCTGGGTTACATTAGCAAAAGGAAAATGGACTAGTGATACATGAACTGATAAATTTGGCTGCAGGACTGACACAAAATCACAGTAAAGGATTTTTTTTCTTTTCAGCAGATGAATACATTTATCCCAAGTTTTGTGGTGAAACGAGGAACAGGTCCAACTTAAAGCTGGGGCTGCTTTGTGAGTAAATATGCATGCTTTATGTTACTGAATGTACCGTCTATGTGTGTGTGTGTGTGGTCAGTGATCTCACAGGCAGCCTGTTTGCGTGCCTAACACCTGCTCTTGCACACTAGTGAGGTCAGGGTGCAGATCTTACATGCCCAATGTCTCCTGAAGCGATCCATGCTCTCTTTCTTTGTTTCTAAGCCTCCTACACAAGAGATGGAGTCCTGACCAGGCTGCAAACATGTACATCAGCACCTTCGACAGCCTCATTTCTCTCCTGCCCTGCCCTTTTTGATAAGTTCCAGTGACTGCTATCCAATCTTTCACGTCCGCACTTAATGCATCCTGACAGATGGATGAGGGTTATGTATGCCGAGGCCTATCAGGTTCATCTGAGAAAACAAAAAAGGAGAGATTTAGATAAAAGGGCAGGAAAAAAGAGCAGTGCGGTCTGAGAAAGACGTATTGTGAAATTCCAGGAGATAACAAGTGAAACATGGAGTGCAAGATCAAAAAACGTTTCCTTATAGACAGCTGAACTCTAAAAGTCATTTAGCTCATGCTGCCGTCTAGTGGTAAGGTGTAGTTCTCTTTCAGAACTTCAGAATTTCCTATAAATAAAAAAAAGTTAATTAACAGAGTATCTTTGTAGTAATGAAGACCCAATTGACTCAACCTTGATTTGTTTCAACATTAAAATTGTCTGATAACTTTGAGGAAAAACGTTCTTTATTTTTCACTGAAACACATTTACAAACAACATAAATAGAAAACCATAATGTCCTTTGGTCTGTGGACTTTTATCTTCCTTTCTGAAAACAGAGAGATGTCTATCATAAAAAGGGCAGTCCTTTTTAAGTCACAAGAAAGAATCTGTTTTCCTTTTCCAAAAATCAGGATTAGTTGGGGAGAGATTCTGAATTCTCCCAGCGAAGGCCATGTACGGACATAGGGAAAGAGATCAGTCGTTTTTCTCCCTCTTTTCTCGACGGGCCCTTCTCTTCAGCTGAAGTGTCTTGAGTTCAGTCATGGTAGAAAAGGTCCTGTAAACCCACACCATCTGTCAGCATGAAAAAAAAAAAGAAAAAACGGCAAGGCTTACACGTGGTCTGGTGTTTAATCCTTTCAAGAGAAATTCTGAGCTATTTATTGATGTGAAAAGTTGAAAAATATTGTTGTAAAAATAAACACTTACCACAATTACGACTGCATTGAGTAGGAGAGGTATTGAGTAAACCAGTGATATGAACATACCCTTTGAATCAAAGTACTGGAAATCAGAAAAAGACCTAAAAAAAAACATTACATAGTTTTATTTTTCAATGGAAAAACTTTTTTTTTTTTTTTTTTACAATCCATACATTCATTATCAGATACCAACATGCACAAAAAAAAAAAAGAATAGGTCTCACCTCCAGTTCATCGCTGCCAGCTCATTTAGGTATTCAGCACTATATACCAGGGCAACTGTGGAAAAAAAACGTATATTAAGAAAAGATGACTTTAATCTAAAATGATGGCAAACGTGAAAACATTGCATCGCTGGAATTTCCTGTAATTTATCTGCAAAATGTGTTCTAATTCAACAGCCCCAAATAAGACATTCATTTGACATACTGACACTCACAATTTCTTCTGCATGCAGTTTTGTCTACTTCTACTTCATACAAAACTAAATCAAATTAAACTGTTAAAAAGGAAATACAGACCAAATAGTATACAGAACAAAGATATATACTTGATACAGAAGATTAAAATGGGTTATGATAAATGTATTAAATATATACACTCACTACAGCAAAAAATACATAAGTAAATAGGTCTATAGCAATAAAATATCCATAAAAATAAATCTAATACAATTTAAATCCAATAAATATTAAAAGCATTTTATTTGTTGATGTTTTCTCTGTCACATCTAATATATACATATGTTCTCCAATTATATCGTGATGAAGTTTGTGGTCTTTGCTGCCATCTAGTGGTCGGGGAACCAATTGTATCTTACCTCCAGATTGGAAATATATTTGAAATACTGCTGATGAACTAGAAAAAAAAAGCTTGATCTCCAATCGCTGCTGCCATTTACTTTAACTGAGTGTTTCCATTTATATCTAACGCTGCCCTGCAGGAAGCATAATCTGTGCTGTTGCTGCCAATAACATGCTTTTTCTCTCTCTCTCTCTAGATAATACTCTTAGCTCTCTAAGTTTTAGTTTTTCATTTTTAACAAGTCTTCTCAAA